CGAGAAATCGACGATCGCCGAGGCGGCCTTGGCGATCGGCGAGAAATCGACGATCGTCGAGGCGGCCTTGGCGATCGGCGAGAAATCGCGACCTCCGCCGGCCGTCAAGCCCGCGATCAGGAGCAGGATTCCCGTCCCGATCTCGGAGGACCGCGCCGAGCCGTCGTCTTCCTCGCGCTCGGCTCGAGCTCGCCTTCGGCGGCGGCTCCGGTCCGGGACTTGGTCCTCGTTGTCCTCCGTGGACGGCGAGTGTCGCGGGGCTTCTTCGGAGGAGGACGCCCTCAAGAGGAACTCCGGGGTGACGCGGCGGCGGGACCGGCTCGGGTCCGCCAGTCGGATCCCCGCGCCCGTCGCGCCCGTGAGACCACCGGCCGCCGTTCCGTCTTCTCCGGCGTCTTGCGCTCCCAGGTTGAGTCTTCTTCTTTGACCTCCGGCGGCGGTTCCCGAATGCTCGTCAAAGACAAGCGGCCCACCCGCCTCCCTTTTGCGCTTTTCTGTCCGCAGGAAGGCAAAGAGCCGACAGAGGTCCGCCGCCGCCGCCGCCGCCGTCCAGCCGTCCGGAGCGTCGTCTTGGCGCCCCCGTCCGTCCGAGGTCCGAAGCGCCGGTCGAGGCCGACTCCGGGGGGAAGGCCGCCGCGCCCGCAAGATAATACAAACGACTCCGCTTCCCGTTTGGTTTTTTGTGGACTTCCCGCGAGTCTTCGACTCGGCATGCTTCGATCCTCATGAATGCTGCAAATCATCTTGTCGCGAATCGATCAATTTACCTTCGGCAGCCTTGAGACGACGGCTTGGTTATTGCCCCCCCCCCGCCCCCCCCCACCCACTTCTCATGCGTGACGATAAAACCAAACTGACACACGCAAATGCACGCGGCACGACATACTCGCCAATCGTTTTTCTCGATGTGCCCTGAGGATGACCGGCGACCGGTCGTCGGTCTCCGATCACATTCGGTTCTTATCGACTGGATTTTTTTTAATGGCCGCAGGCTAGCTCGCAATAGCGCCCCCCCCCCAAACGTGCGCGCCCTGACCTCGACCGGCCATCAATCCATCGTTTTTTTTTTTCCCCCCAGTTTTTATTTGAATTTTAACATTAAATCATAAATAATAATAATAATCAATGAAAAAAAAAAAAAACGAAATAATCATCAGAATAAATGAAAAAAAGTCAATCATTTTCATTTCTTCATTTTAATTTTATCATTAAAAAATAAAAATGAATAATCATAATCATAATACATAAATACTAATCAATAAAATGACATTTTTATTTGAATTTTGTTCATTTTGCATTTTATTGCCGAAAATGTTTTCAAGCGGCGCCAAAGGACGGATTGGCGAAGTTCCCGTTGGCGTCGTGGGCGTCGCCGTCGCCGTCCTCCTCCTCCTCCAAGTCGGCCTCGAACAGGCGCTGCAGCAAGGCGTCCACCGTTCGATACCCTGACGCGCACACAAAACACGTCCTGACTCGCCGACGCCGACGGCGGGGGTGGGCGGGGCCTTACGTTTGGAGGCGATTTTGAACATGAGCTTGGGTTCGCCGCTCTCCGATGCTTCGGGGGTCCGCCGCTCGCCGTCAGCCGTCTCCATGGCGTCCACCAGGTTGTCCTCCTCCGCCGCCTCCCTGGCTCGCACAAGACGCGGGAAAGCGACAAGGTCAGGAAGCGAAGGGGCGGCGATCGATCGAGCGAACGCGGAAACGGCAAGCCGAGAAGAGTTGGACTTTGACCCGCGTCCTCACTGCGCCACGCCGAGCCGCAGCTCCTCGATCTTCTTCTCCAGCTCGGTGTGCAGGTCGCTCTTGTCCAGCGAGTACTCGAGAAAAAAGGCCTCCAGCACGAACGCCACGAAGATGCTGGCGAAGTGGAGCGGGCGCGTCAGGGCGAGCCGACGGCGGGCGGGCGAGCGGGCGGGCGGG